AGAAAGGCGAGGCTTCACCACCCATTTATCCCTCCACCTTTCAACCAGCACCACATGTGATTATCGGCCAGGCTGGCACAATTAACTAACTCAGGAGTCATTACTTAAAGGGTGCTAAAAACTTTTTGGTAATTTACAGGATTGATGGTTGTACAATATGGTGAATATAATTAATGTCACTAAATTGTATACTTAAAAATAATTTAAATGACACATATTTTGTTATCAATATATCACCACAGGTTCTCTGACCTTAGTAACTCGCTATGACATGGTTCAGTTCCTGAAAGAACAGACTTCCTTCTATGGTAGTCCCCTAAACCATACTAGTTTATTCTTAAACCCAACCCACCCTACAACCGCCGCAGAAGAATCTATGATCAAATAAAACCTTTTACAATGACTGTAATAAGGGGAACACAATTTCTTGTTAACTTTTTATAGCCCTTATAATAGTTTTTACTGTCACTTAAAGAAAATAATAAAGTATACCAAATAAAAAATATATTAGAAGTGTGTCACACATAATTACTCTTCCTTCTTAGAGGAAAGTCTTTCCCTCCGAGGGCATCATCAGGTGCTGCTAATGGCTAAGAAACCAGTTACTGACCAAATGCTTGTGGTTTGAACCGGCAAGCCTGCTGACGTGCTTCTGAAAGGTTATAGCCTCGAAAACCCTATGGAGCTGTACATATCTGGGTTTGTACAACTTTGGAGTTGTACATATCAGAATTGATTTAACGGCAACTAGCAACAGGGGTTTATAAGCTTAGTTTGCTTGTTTCAGAACACATACATTCTAAGAGACATCTTTTGCTTTATCTAGTTCTCCATCCATATGTTTAGTAACCTTTTCATTTTTTTTACAACTTTATGGAGGCCTATTTTACATATTCTTTAATTCACCCTTTTCTAGTGCACAGTTCAATTTCTGGTAAATGTGCTAAGTTATAGAACACACTGTGAATCGGTTTTATCACTTATAAAATACATCATACCCATTTGTTGTTAATCCCTGCGAGAGTAAAAAAAATCTAGTAATTGCCTATCAAGTTCTACTATCTTTGCTATCTTATCTCTTGCTAAATCTCAATATTTCATTCTGTACAAAATGTTCCAACATTTTTTTCTTGCTTCTGTTGTATGATTAAAATTAAGTGGATTCAAATATTCACACACAGAGTGATTTACCTAATCCATCATGCAGATGGATGGGGTGAGTGGTGCAGCAAGAGGGCCGAGGAAGAATGGTACAAACCCAGTAGCATACTTCTCATCACTAACCGTTTTGAAGCTTTAATTCTCCCCAGACAATTAGCTTGAACGCATCAAAAATACCATGATTGGGACACAGTCTGAAGCTTTCCCAATGCAAATGTCCTCCTGCTACAAACTACCCCCTTGCTGACCTACGTATCTTAGTCTTTCTGGAGAGGGCTTAACAGAGTGAAGGCAATAAAAGATAATGCCAACTACATGTAATTAGAGGAACCCTGCAAGAGAAGCAAAAATAAGACAAGCTATTATTATTAAGGGCACATGTTAAAGGTGCCGAGAATACCTCTGTCTGTGGCCAGTAATACAGCCAGTGTGTCATCGGCTCTGTGAGCCCCATGTTCACCTTTCAAAGGAGTTCTTGGTTGAGGTTTATGGTACTTCCACTCTGGTTATACAATCTAATTGAGCAGAGTATCAGGCTGTTTTGAGGTGTCAGAGAGTCAGTTCTGATTAGAGCCACCCTGGGTACAGCAGAGCAAGCAGTGCCCAGTCCTGTGCCAGTCTCGCACTTGTTGTTTGAGCCCACCCCAGCCGAGGGCAGTGTGGGATAAGCACAGGCTCTGTATGGTAAAGAAAGCCAAGCTAGAAACCTGTTGCTGTAGTCGAGTGGACTCTGACTTGAGATGGGCCCATGTGCTCTGGACCAGCATGTGGACTCCCCAACAAGCAGTCTTTCTTTTTTTTCAATCTCAGGGCATTCTTTAATATCATTATTTCCATTTAAGAAGATGACTGTCATGATCACTTGTCCTCTTTACCTTTCTCAGGCTTTCATATTCTTCACGAAGCTCTCCAGGTTTGCTCAGTTTGATTGGTGCTCTGAATATAAACTCTGGAGGAAAGGAAAAGAAAACATTTTTGAAAGGGCGGTCTAGAAAGGAACCTTTTTCTACTGCTCCCCACACCTTACAAAGCACATAAAAACATGTGGCCCTCTTTAACTTGAATAGTCGTTCACTTAACAGCAACAACAAACTTACGGTTATAAAATGGAGTGTTCTAAGCACTGAGGAGAGTAAGTAAAGTCCTTGCTCTCATGGAGCTCACAATCGTGTGGAGAAAAACTGACCAGGCAGAAACTAATGTGCGTGTACAATATAATTGGCAATAAGTACTACACACTGTAGAGCCGTGGTTCTCAACCTTCCTAATGCCGCGACCCTTTCATACAGTTCCTCATGTTGTGGTGCCCGCCCCCCCAACCATAAAATTATTTTCGTTGCTACTTTGTAACTGTCATTTTGCTGCTGTTATGAATCGAGTGACCCCTGTGAAAGGGTCTTCCCCCAAAGGGGTTGCGACCCACGGGTTGAGAACCACTGCTGTAGAGAAAAATAAAATGTAGGGTGGAAGGAAAAGGTTATTCCATATAAGGCAGTCTGCAGAAGACTCACTAAGTAACATGTCAAATGAACTACAGGAAAAGCTCTACTTAAAACTATTAGTTCATTACCTAATACCATTTAAAATGAATTCTCGTTCTACTCGTGATACTGTTTTTTTTTTTTTCTTAGCACGGCTACCACATGTTCTCTTAAAATCAGGTCATATCCCATCATTTTTATCCTCAAAAGCATTCAGTGGGTTTGATCAGCCTATAGAATAAAGTCAAAATCCTCCAACAAGCCATGTGCTTCCCTAGAGACGGCGCACTGTTTTATCTTCCTTAAGGAGTAATGCATCATCTAGCCACCTGGCCTACCATCCAGCTACAGCATAGACAGGCCACATATTTTTAAACCTTTTCACGGTTGCCTCAGCTGAAACTGTCTTCTCCCTTTCGCTATATATTTTTAAACATGTAGGCACGCAACATATGTTGGGTGTAAATGACAAAACAACACAATATATATTGGATATAAATGACAAAAAGTAAAGCAGAGTGATAAAAAGTTTTTTTTAAAGGAGGATGGGAATACACGCTTCTGACTATACACAGCATTTCGATAGAACCTCTATGTATATTTAGTGGTCTAAATACAGTATTGCTTTTAAGACTCACTAGTAATGCTACATCATTAAGGTTGGTAAATATTTGTTCTGAAGAAGTAGGCAACTCAAAAAGCTTTTTTTTTGGGGGGGTTCCTTTTTCAATGTCTCAATTATTTTATAAAGTAATACTCTCACTGAACATACCTGAGAAATGTGGACGATACGTAGAAACACTGGGACTAATGCAAAACAGTAACCTGAGTTCTACTGAGCACTACAGAGTTGTTAGCCTTTGGGCTTAGAAGTATTCATTCTATCACCTTCATCTTCTTTATTAAAAAGATCCTGGTGACTATTTTAGTCATATCCCTTAAGCATATTCCAATTACAGACAAATAATATCTTAAAACAGATTCTTTAAAAGAGGAGGAAAAGGAAGGAGGGAAAAGCAAAACCCTTAAGGGACATAAAATACTGAGGTCCACTAATTGAGATTCTACTGTGTGTCAGACCTTCACACTCATTTTCTCAAAGAATCATCACAGACACTTGGTAAGGTAGCTACAGTAGTCATTTGATAATAAGGAAACTAAGAGGTTATATGACTTTCCCAAGGTCACTGAGGGAGTATAAGGCAAAACTAGAGAAACACATTAATGTAGGAATATAAAGGGTAACTACATGATTAAAAAGGCAAACCATTAAAAAGATTTAACAATCATGAGCTTGCATGGTCATAACTTACTTACTACAACATAATATAATTGGATAAATTCTAAGAAATTTAAAAAAAAGAAAGAAAGAAGTTCATAATTATGGTGAGAAATTTTAGTACACTACTATTAAAAACAGAGATCAGGCACACCAAAAGGCAGTAAGAATACAGAAAAAAATGGTTAACAAAATTAACAAATTGGTTACATTCATTCATCCATCTCTACATAAATGAACTCATGGGAAAATGGAATTAAACAATAATTGAGGTTTTCTGTGTACTTTTTGAAGCCCCTTATATATGTATGCATTTAATGAACAGAATGTATATTCCTTAAAACAAACCAGGAATAACTAAAAATACTAGAATGGGATTACTAAAAATACTAGAATGGGATTAATAATGTTTACCACATTAAGAATATAAATTGCTAAATTGTCAAAATCAGTTTGTGTCCCAATATGACTGTGTTACATTAAATGATTGTGTGTTTAAAAAGTTGATAACTTGGAGCACTTCTTCAAGTTAAGCATAAAAGGTTATGAACTAGTCCAATGTAACATTAATTTTTTATATATATTGTGAAATATTTATTTCTAATGACAAATAAATGAAATTACATCTTGAAGCATGGTGTAGCATGGGTAACAGTCTTCACACTGGGTACTCAGAGGTGGGTGTATCTGCATGTGGGCGGACCCACCTGGAGACGGATAGCTGTATCTTGGTTCCCAAGACCATCTGAAAAGATGTGTTTTCCAATGGTCTTAGGTGACCCCTGTGAAAGGGTCGTTTGACCCCCCCACAGAGGTCGTGACCCACAGGTTGAGAACCACTGCTCTAAGAAAACTTCCTGTTTCACAGTGAAGTTCCTCTTGATACTGGGTTACATAAGTACATTTTCTTTGGTTTTATTTTTTTCCTCAGTAAGAGACCTATTTCTTCTTTTTTCTTTTAATTTTTAAAAATTTTTGTGTCAAACACA